AAAGTCATTTTTGTCATTTTATTCTGACGTGCAATATTAAAAGATTGTCTATAAAAACATGATGCAGCCCTTGGCCAATCAAACAATAAATTCAACCCCAGAGAAAAAAGGAAACATGAATGTAACACTGTACACTGTAGACAAAGCCAGACACAGCATCACCAAAGAGATACACCTGACTGTATTTTATTAGAAATGACAACACCCAAGATTAAAGCATCATGAAAGGAATATGGAGCGAAATTCTGGCTTAACCCGCTCGGCTGAGGGCTGACCTGCTGGCCATAGGACGAGGAGTCAGGACCCCCATGCAGGATGACCAAGGGCCAGCTGCAGAGGTGGGATGCAAGAGACATTCAAGAGAGAAAGATAGGGATCCCGTAGGGATTTATAGCGTTTTGGGAGAGAGATGGATGTGTTGTAACAAACAAATAAGTTTTGGACCCCGAAATGAAGCTGAACAAGTGAGTTTTATTGCATGCAAAAAACATCTTGATAGAGCCAATCCAAAATAAATTTTTCAATAGGGTCTACAGATATGTGCAGCAAAATAAGATCAGGCCTCCAGGAGTTCAGCAAAAACATTTTTTGAAAGAAAATAGCTTTCTCTATATTCATCTAAAATATCTGATTCAATCACTTTCTAATTTATTATTTAGCTAAAATTGCTGATTCAATCACCGCCATGTGGGTAAAATGTCTGCACAGCCGCGCAGCATGATGACGTCATTAGTTGGCACTGCGGTGGCTCCAAAACAACTGAGGAGCTGAGCTGAGAAAGGAGATTCTGCAGCTGGATATAAACCTCACTGCATCTGCTAGTACCACCTAGTCAGGAGAAGTGAATCGCCATCAAACTAAACTGTGTGTGAATTCCATGTAATTATAAATGTATTTCCACAGGTTAAACCTACATAATTGTGTACATTATTCTCAGTGCAATTCAGATTTGGTTACTGTTTCTATCGAACTGATTAGAAAATCTGCACACCCGTGCAAAAATAAAAATTACCTGGAGGAGAAAAATGTTTATCCAGGGAAATTACTTTTGCGGTAAAAAGTGATACTCCATTTTCCATTTCTTACGATCAGCCTGTTCATCATCATCCCCATTCTGTTGACAACTGACTCTGTGACTATTGGAGGCCCAAACGGGACTACTAAGTTTCTGAAAAGCAGACAGAAAAGAGAGGTTGTTTCCCCACTGGACTAGCTGAATGAGACTGATCATGCTGATTTCCAGGATAATTTGTGGTATCATTACATGAACTATACTGTGAAAAGTACTCGACCAAATGCGTCCTGTTAGGTGTGTAGCTTGATGCCTCATTCTACTGCCTCTCCTGGTAGGTTGAGTCTGCAACCTGTGGCGGGACTCTTCTCGAAATGTATAGGTCTAAGTCTCCAATCTGTAGCTAATGCTCGCTGGCTGCAAATAACCCGCTATGAAATGTACTCCTTTATTAATATAACGCTGGATGGCCTCGACGCAATTAAACAAGAATTAAGAGGAGTCAGGCTTATGGCACTGTAAAATAGATTTATGCTAGGCCTCCAGAATGCAGCCTCTGAAGGAGTGTGTGCTCTGATAGGCGATTTGTGCTGTACCTATATCCCTGCTAATGATGATGACCATGGTAACCTCACCCTCGCAATACACCAGCTGAAAGAACTTAAGGACAAAGTAAATCAAGAGCGGGGCATTGGCAATGAGTTCCCCTTCTTTTCATGGCTAAAACTGTTATTCAGGTCATGGGGAATGTTTTTCTTGAAACTATTCATGTCTTTTATTACAGTGTTTTTGCTGCTCTGTTGTTGTATAACTTGTATTATCCATATGCTTCAATCTATGGTAAAGACTCATTAATATGCACTGCTTAGAATAGACTCCCATGAGCCCTGGGACCCTCCAGGTGACCCCTACGAGGAGTCCATAGTGAAAAAGCATTTTTAAGGATAAAAAGGAGGGAATGTAATGGAAAGTTACTAAAGAAAAGTGTTTAATCCTAAAAATGTTGTTTACGGGCAATATTAAAGCAGCTGGATTCTGTGAACAAAGTGTGATAGTACCCAGCGGGTCAAGGGCACAGGATGTTCGAAGAATATGTTTATCTCTGCACCAGCAAAAAGGCGATGCAAAACTGCATGTAGCTGTCTTCTCTGTCCTTCAAGGCTTAGACCTATAAGTACTGGAAAATTACTGCCTAGCCTGTCTTTGTATTACTAACCAACCATAATGAAGTAAACAAGTTGAGCTGTTGCATTAGCTAAGTGTGTAAAATAAGGGACCTTTCCCTATTTGCTGCTGCACAGACTAGTGGTTGCTGTTGTGCAATATTTTTTCCATTTTGTTACAATGGACTTCACAGTGCTCCTAGGAAGGTTCAAAGCTTTGTCAATCTTTTTATAACCTTCTCCAGCTTTTTTCCTCCTAACAACTTCATCTCGAAGTTCCATAGGCAGCTCCTTGGTCTTCATGACAGTAGGACTGATCTGATGTGCAGTCAAGCAATTGAATACAGGTGTACCTTGTTAACATTTAGTGGGATCTCTCAAGATAACTGACCCAAATTAGGTTGCTAAAACAAAGGGAGTGAATACTTATCAATTAAGTAATTTTCCATTCTAAATACTTAACATTACAGAGAATTGCTTCTACAGGAGTGGAAAACTTTTTTTGAAAAATTTGAAAAATGATTTAATTTGACTTTGCAGCACAGCAGAATGAGAAATAAACAATGGGGTGTGAATACGTTCTGAAGGCACAGTATATATTGCTGTCCTGTCTCGTTTAAAAAAATAGTTGCATTGAAAAAAAAAAGAAAGATATGGAATTATTAGTAATGGTGCCAAAATAGATTTTCTACTTAAAAGAGATTCATACAATATCGTATTCTTTTCGCACGTACTTTGAGCTTTTTTGTAGAATTTAATCAGATGTGTGACTTTTATTTTTCCTGTGACAGTTAAGAATCCTTATCTGTTTTATACACATTTCTTGCTTAACATGGTAAGTTAAAAGCTGTTACACAATTACAAGCCTATTCAACGAGAACAGTAACTCATATAACTCAGACAGTCTTAACTGTAAATTAAACAGGATTAAACTTAACATCCCAAGACTATAAAGGAATAAAACATTAATTCAATTTAGACCTAATTCATTTTAAAATTGATTAAAACTAAAAGCAAAAAGCATTATATATTTTAGTATACAGATAAATTTAACTGTGTGACAAGAACTATTTCTGTTTTAGTCAACCATAAGGAAGAATACAGTCAAAATTTAGTTGACTAGACAAACTCAACAGTGGGTGATTACAAAGTGACTATGGCTAAAAGACATCTTAGGAACAAGTAAAGGTTTATTCCATGCTGAAAAGAGAAGAAAAGAAACATTTTGGCTGTGGAGCCTTCTTTGGATGTCACATGCTGACGCATCTACCAACTTGAACTAAAAGACATTTTAAGTCACCTGACTGGATAAAACTCTTTCCACACTGACTGCAGCTGAATTATCTCCTGCATGAATATGCTGGTGGGCTCTTAAGGTACCTGAATGACTAAAACTCTTCTCACACTGACTGCAGCTGAATGGTCTCTCTCCTGTGTGAATGCGCTGGTGGGTTAGTAAGGTACTTGAATGACTAAAACTCTTCCCACACTGACCGCAGATGAACGGTCTCTCTCCTGTGTGAGTGCGCTGGTGTGATTGTAAGTGGCTTATCTGACTAAAATTCTTCCCACACTGACTGCAGCTGAATGGTCTCTCTCCTGTGTGAATGCGCTGGTGGGTTATTAAGGTACATGACCGACTAAAACTCTTCCCACACTGACCGCAGACGAACGGTCTCTCTCCTGTGTGTCTGTGCTGGTGTAATTGTAAATGGCGCATCTGACTATAACTCTTCCCACACTGACTGCAGCTGAATGGTCTCTCTCCTGTGTGAATGCGCTGGTGGATTATTAAGCTACGTGACTGACTGAAACTCTTCCCACACTGACCGCAGACGAACGGTCTCTCGCCTGTGTGAATGTGCTGGTGTGATTGTAAGTGGCTTATCTGACTAAAGTTCTTCCCACACTGACTGCAGCTGAATGGTCTCTCTCCTGTGTGAATGCGCTGGTGTCTTTTTAAGTCACCTGACCTATTAAAATTCTTACCACACTGACTGCAGCCGAAAGATCTCTCTCCTGTGTGAAGGTGCTGGTAGGGTTGTGAAATACTAGACTGACAGTAAGGCTGCTCCCCCCTGTGCCATAATGGTAGTTTGTCCACTCCATCTGAGCAAGACCTTGACTGATTCTTCCTCTTCCTCTGATTGTGCTGCTGTAACTCAGTACTCTTCTCTTCACCAGATACATCAGTCTGCTGCTCTGCATGGTCAATCAACTGGGGCTCCGTGTCATGCTCTGTAAGATTAAACTCACCCAGTTCTTCTTTGTGCTCTAGTACAGAGACACTTCCCAGTTCACTACAACCTTGTGTAATATTGTTTGTGTCCAGATTATTAATCTTCTCTGTAAAATCATCACATACTAAGAGCCCAGGTGTCTCACTCTCAGGCTCTGTCTTCATCATGGGCACAGAG